ACAAAAATTCCATTGACATATATCTCATTTATTCTGTAAATTAGTGAAAGCTAACGACTCAAATAATCGAAAAACGGAAATACCGATTTCAGAGATTTGTATTTTTGAACATTTTTTGATAATTTCACCGAGAGCATGCCTTGACGTAACGTGATATCTCTAAATCTGAAGGTTTGGTGCCATTTAAGTACAACAATCTTTTCTCATTGAGCACTCTATCTACACAAAAATCACTAAGATTCTTTAATTATTGAGAAAGTTCTTCCAAAATTAGAAGGTGGTGTTTTTGTGTCAACCTATATAAACTTCGATGAACAAAGCAGGTTAAATACAGTATATACCAAAGTGTTTACAATACTGTATATTACCTCACTTTCATCCGAAATATAAAATCTGAATTTTCATCATTTCTTATTTTGATATCACCTTCATCATATATAAGAGGTATGATTCCACAGGGGAGGAATATATATTACCCATGATAATCGACCCCTGCCAGTAACTTGCAAAACAAAAACACATTTTGGCATTCTCGTGAGTACTCAATGGGCGAAGTAAAATTAATTTTTTGCGCCACTTGTAGGCATTTTTCATACATAAAACCAACAAAGGTCGATGCCAACGTATGCCTTACACTGGTCTACCAGAGCCCGACTGTAGGTTCATTCCTAATTCTAACCAGACAACAAAGGCCTCTACAATGCAATTTCTTGATTCGGTATGCGCAAACACCATTGTTGTAAAATCCATTTTGAGTAGAATCGCTAGTGTGTGACTGTGTGTATGATACTAAAAATAAAAAATAAGAATTCCAAAGTATACTCTCTAAATCGGCTGAGGTAGGTAAGAATGTAAAAATGAAGATCATTGTGACTCTCTTTGATTTAAAATTTAATCATATTTCTTTTTTCTAGAACTGTTCAAACTACGTAAAAGTAAAGATTTCAAAAGTGTCTCAAATAATGGACTCGTTTCGCTTTATGCAACCTGAAATTCGGACTATTTTTCTGATTTTTTAAATTAGATGCATTAGTCAGATCACAACTAAGTAATTATATATTATATTATGGTTAAAATCGTCTTATGCTTGAAGATTCTTTCGGACAGTTTGTTTGTGTTTGTTTTGTCAGGTCGTAACTTTTTGTTAAACGAGTTCAACGGATCCGGATCTTCACACAACATATTGGCTCCGAATATGCAAAATAGGAAGTGTAATAAACGAGGCATGTGGGGCGTCATTCTGGAACACAACGATTTCGCTAAGAATAACAATCCCCCAAGAGACATCCCTGATTTGGCTCCGAATATACAGGTCGTTAAACGAAAGAATTCTGGAGCATGTAAAGTGTAAACGAATGATGTATTGGAGAGATCAGATATTATGGTAAAATATGATTCTTGTGATACTGATCAACAACCAGGCTACTGCCCCTAATAATGCGTATTTTTTAATGTTACCTTTTCTTCTCATTACATGTTTTTATGACATTAATTGTGATCGTAGAGAGGCAATAGATGGTTTGTACTGACCTACCCTTTGCATTCGTTTGACTTCACTTCTTAAAAGAGAGCTTCGTCTTCGTAGTTTAACTAGACTCTGCGCGCAGTGCAGCTAGTGATTTTAAAATACTAGAATGGTAATTTGGTCATAACTTTTATATTCCTCATCCAATTTACCTCAACATTTGCCGAATGTCATTTATGACGTAACAATATCTTGTGACGTCACCAACGCATACCTGCCATCTTGGATGCCCAAGAAATAGAAAATGTGTGAACTCAAAAAGACAAACAAAAACAGAACCTTAGGCCCTTTTTATCTTTTTGGAAATCCAAACTGTCTATGAACAAAAAAGTTTTTACATAGGCCCCTACCATTATTTAAAGGGTTCCGATTAGATTGGATCAGTCCATTTTTAAGAAATAAGGCCGGGGAGTTCTGTAAAATCCAGTTTATTGAAATTGTCTTTGAGATAAAGTAATCCGTTTATAATGATTTTGAAACTGTTATCCAAAGAGTGATTGCGTTCAAAGAATACATGTACAACAGTCAATATAAATCCTTGTATTAGAAACCGGTAGGCCTAAGTTCAAAAATGGCTAATAATTTACATTCTATTCGTCCATAATAGTCGGAATTTCGTATTTCAAACGCCCCAGAACGCTTCAAATGCTATATCATTTTCTTTTTCACTTTCTTTTTTTCTTGGGGGACCTCCCCCGAACCCCCCTCAAAGCACGTCTATTTCGCTTACTCGCGGCGTACACTCACAAAATACCCACGCTACGCCACTGCAATAGCTCGGGAAAGGTAAAATGACTCCCAAATTTCTTCTATGGTCTTTATTCAACCTTTAAATGCAATTCCGCGCTATTCCTATCCTCCAGTGTTGATAGCCTGATTTATGTTGTGTAAATCTGGATCAAAATGTTACAATAGTATTAATAACCCTTCTTATAAAGGCAATTTAATCAAGGTTCGAAAACTCCCAAAAGTATAACCCTAACACTATTTCATCATCAGTAGGCTACGTCATAAACTCGATGATATAATCGGATGTCAACAGATTTTACTCAAGTAATGTTCTGATTCTTAGATCCTTTACTCAATATGTTTTCGGATCTTTATAATATTACTCGTCGATCTCCAATAACATCGGGTCTTTTAGAACAAAGTTAAAGTGAAGATTTTGCTGTTCAAAAGTGCTATTTTGACCTAATATTTTGACACTTAGTATATCATTTTAGAAAATTAAAAACAAAAAGAACTAATTTTAATTTTAAGCTAGGTGATGTAAGTGTTAATATGATCGATCAATACAGATACCTTGGTGTTATATTTAATGAAAATTGTAAGTTTGAAGAAGCTGTAAAAATGCTATCTGACTCAGCAGGTAGAGCTCTAGGTGCTCTAATTAATAAGTGCAAGTTTAATAGAGACATAGGATTTAATACTTTTACAAAATTATTTAAAGCTTATGTATTGCCAGTGCTACATTATGGAGTCGGAGTATGGGGAGCACATGATTATTTAAAATATTGTAATTTAATTTATGATAGAGCACAAAGGTATTATGCAGGAGTACACAAATTTGTGCCTTTACATGCTTTGCATGGAGATTTTGGGTGGACACCTTTAATTTTAGAACAGCAAATTGAATTAGTTCGATTATTTAACCGCCTATCATGGCTGGAAGATGGGAGACTGACAAAGAAAATATTTTTATGGGACATTAAATGTAAGAGTAAATGGTCTCAAACTGTAAAAAGCATTTTAGAGAAATGTAATCTTACTGAACATTTCAATGATATGACATATTGTGATACAAAAATTGTGCTAAAAAATCGTATGGATGATTATAAAAATAGATGGCCAGATATGGTTAGTTCAAAACCAAAGTTAAGGACTTATGCAACTTTTAAAAATAATTATGAAACTGAAAAGTATTTGACATTGAATTTAAGTAAATATGAACGGTCACTTTTAGCACAATTGCGTATGGGTATTTTACCATTAAGAATAGAATAACGGGTCGTTTTAAGAATGAAAAACTAGAAGAAAGATTATGCTGTTTATGTGAACAAAATTGTGTGGAAGATGAGATCCATTTTGTGTTTCATTGCCATTTTTATAATGAAATTAGACAGAGGTATTTTATTGATAACAATTTTAAATGTATTGACACAAATGTAGAAAAGTTAAAGTACCTGTTTGGGAAAATGACAAGACAATTTGCTCATTTTGTAAGGGAGTGCTTTGTCAAAAGACGTAACCATATGTATAACACAGATTGATATTTATTTCACTAATTGTATAATTTAAAATGTTTAAACTTGTTAAGTGGTTGATAAGCCCAGGTGGGCTGGGTTGATTTGTGTAACCTACCACTATAAAGAACAATAAACTTATCTTATCTTATCTTATATCATGCATATTCACATCCATTTACCGACCCAAATATGTCTTATGTATGGCTCATTATCAATTAAAGCGAGTATGAATGAGAAAAACAAATCGAAAACCATTATACGTTTAACTGATCTCTCAATTTGGACATAAAAATATATTTAAACTATAATTCTAGGCCAATTCCGCCTGCTAGAACATCTTAGTAACAATTCTAACTGTCCAAGGAAATTGATAGTGACATTATATTACCCTTTTTGTCCATTTTACTACGAGATGTACCGTACCAAACATTGGACTGGCGGTATATGCATGTCTTACTCGGCGGTAGGCCTAGGTTGTATATACGCGGGTAGACTTTCCCCCCGTGCTTATAGGGCGACCCTAGTATACTGCAATACAGTATACAAAAATACATAGTGCACCCTAAGTTGCAATACAGTCAAAGGCAAACATAAAGAGTTCAATGCCGAACAACAGTCAAATGCAATTTGAGTACATCCGATGCTGCAATACATTAAAAGATACCTATAGCAATGTAAGTTACAATACTGTCAAAGACATGACGTATAATACGGCAGTATAAAGAAGAAGTTCAAAGACATGCAACAGTACAATGAGCATGAAGAGTATAGCTCACGCTACAGAAGTGTATGGCATATACTATCGGATGACCCTGTCAATGTACCTAATTGTGATTAAACATGAAAATGTTGGTTGTCATACGAATAAGCCAATGTTTTAATGAATTTTAGCATTGCACCAATTGAAAATTGGTCCAAATTCTAAAAAATATCATGGAAAATGATATAAATGACGTAACTGTGTAAATCAAAGCTATTTTTGGAGAAAACTTGTCACTGAATTCAAATATGCTATCAAAAAATAAAGAAAAGTAAGTCATTACAGGTAAAAAGTGCAAATCTCTTAAAATCTCATGAAAAAACGATAATTAGCGAGATTTCAAAGCTATTTAGAAACTCCTCTATTATCTTAATTCATACCAATGACCGCACTAATGTCCTTGGATGGAGAAAACATTAAATAACGTTAAATCAATGAGTCTGCATATTGGATGAGCGATAATTGATTCGTTTTAACACCTTTAGGTATTGCAAAATGTGATGATCCCCGGGGGGTTCATTATTCAGTCTTCTCAGATCGGTGTAATTCAATTTTCCAGCAAATAGATTGTGTTCTTTGATTACTGAGGATCAGCTCTTTGAAGAGGATTTTACACTGATCGTGTCGCACTTCAAACATTGGGAGATAGTAATTGATCGAGGGAATTGAGCGGGGAATTGAGAAGTGATGATCCTTCAATATCGTGCACAGATTCATGAGTTGTCATTAATAATGGTTCTGGCTACGTGTGTGCACCGCTGACACGTCTTGAGCTTATTCAGCTGATACGACAGTGATACGATAATATTGGTCAGATAACTTAATGATGTCACTAGAGGAGAAACCTGTGTATAGCAGATTATTTACATCGATGTCTAAAAAATCGGATAAGAAGGATTTATCTATCTCAGAGTGAATACAGAAGTACAGGGTATCTGAAGAGGTTGAACATAACTATTTTCAAAGTCCAAGCTCATTATGTCTGATAAAAACATGTGGTGACGGTTATTTCTACATATGCATTTGAAATCAATGTTTGATCGAGCCTATAGAATCTATATAAGCATAAACGTTGATAAAAGATTATATGACAAGGATAATGTTATGATTTAGAAGTAAAGTCTACTCGAAATGATGGCATATTTGAGGAGCGTTCCGTGATGAAACTCAATTTACCACAATATCAAATAATCACGAGATAATATCTCAGTAAATCTGAACGCAGCCTGGTCATAACAAAGATGGATTTAGCTATCGTTCATATACTGTTTCTTTTTACTCATCTTGTCGTTGTAAGGGCGGACGAACACCCCGCGGACGAGGAACGCGTCTACAGCTTTGTGGTACCTGAGAATGACCGAGTATACGTGGCGTTTACAGATAAGGATGACGCTAAACGCATGGAGAATGCCCAGAGACAGTTACTCGAGATGCAGCACAAGGTTCTACACGAAATCCTTATGAAGGAGAACATTTCAAACACCGTCATGTCACTTCTAGAGCGAGTTGTAAAGCTGGAAACGTCAGGGAATATTAACAAAGACATAGAAATCAAGTATGCAGAAATTGAACAAAAGGTTGACGATCTCACATATCAAGTTGTTGACAAAAATACGGAAATAAAAGCGTTGAAAAATCGTAATCGCATGTTGGAGAACAGAGTTCGGGCCCTGGAGAACAAGTACGCCGACCAGGTCCAATTATTCCAGTCTCTTTCGATGGAGATTGCACGTGAAAAAGCGAATGCCGTAACGCAGAATGCGAACATAGAGAGACAGCAATTAGACATGCTAAAAATGCGAACGGATCTTGACCAAATCATAACTTATACGCAAAGTGTGAACACTACTTTGAACTTGGTCTTAACCGACACGAACTGGCATAAGAAAATCAGTTCTTACAAACTAATCGAAAAGAGAATTAGTGAAGTAGAGAAAAGTGCAAAGGGTCTGCTAGGGAAGATAACATCTATTGAACATGAAAGAGGGAGCTTCATCACACGCAACGAGCATTCGGATCATTTGTCGAAAACACAATTATTAGATGGTGATTTGGGGAAGTTGAAAGAAGCGTTGAAACACCATGTTAAACATTTGAAACGACTGAATGCCACTATGAACAGTATCACCTCTAAATTTGATGATGGGTTCGAAAAAGAAAATGAAAAGGTCTTGAACGAATTACGCGCAAGTTTGCACAATCTTTCGTCTATTTGGAGCGCTGTTGAGAATGGTCCTCCTATGGGTGGCCCCTCGTCTGATTCACATACAGGAAGTGATTCCGGCAAAACTGAAAAATCGGAAATATCAACCCGTAAAGCAGGACACGACTCAGTGTTTGGTAAAGATAAAAACAATCCTGGTGAAATAACAAGCTCCATTGAGAAACATAACACTAGACCTGAGGTGGAATATGAAGATGCATTTGAAAGAGAAGATTCCCATGATCTTCCAACGACTAAAGCTACAGCAGACGATACTATAGATGATGCAAACAAAACAGATGAATCCAAAACAAAAATAGTCGATAAAACGAGTAAAAATGAAACGCCGTTGATAGATTACGAGCGTCTAGATGACGATAGAAAGCTTCATGAAGAATCTGGAATCAAATCAGACGACAGAATGAACGAAGTTGAACAAGCTCCCGATGTCCCAATAACCGTTACGCATGGTGTGCCAGTGCGTAGTTCTACAGATATATCTGACAAATCGACAATTCCAGAAAATAGGAATATTAATGTCGATGAGAGCACCACGCTATTTTCAGTTGAAGTGAATTCTTTAGATAATGCAAGGGAAAATGATCCTGTGTCGCAAATAGAAGATAAAGGTAAAGTATACTAGATATAGTAGTTGGCATTTAGACCATTACGATTTGCAGTGACCCAATCACTCTTTCTTAGCAAGCAATTTATTTAACGGTACCAAAACAGAATTAAATTCCATTAGTGATATTATTCTAAATCAGGTTATGACAGTTGATCTTATAAAATCGGTCTAATCGACCTTTATTAAATTATAGTGTTTTCTTATAATACTCGTATTTATCAACATTTAGCGAATTGATAAAAAGTTAACTTTTTATACTCGCTGAGTTTTGTCTCCAACGATCAAATCTATACCTAACTACTGGCTTAGATTCAGAGAGTATCTCCACTGCGATCTCAGATGTCACTTTTAGCAAAGCATATAGCAGATTATTAACTTTTTACACATCAGAATGTGAGAATTGTGCTGAAGCACCTAATTAAGAGGACGTGCCTAGCTCGACATTCTGATTGTCTCTAGTGACGCTCATGTCACGTTAAAAACCACCTGTGTACATAGAATAATATTAGTTTCAAGCTAAAGTAGCTCTAATCACCAGTGGGGACAACTTGAGTGCTTTCTACATCAGCCCGTAAAACGCGAGCAATAATTCAACCATCAAATCTAGAATCTAAGCTGATTTTTAATTAATCAATGTTAGCCCTCTTGAGTAGAGGAGCTGCATTGTCCTAATTACAGAATTTCAATAACTAATTAAATAGAGAAAAGCCCAATGGTCGTGCATTAAATGGATACAACATCCATATTGTCAGTTTTAGGTAAAAAAACGGTAAAAAACCGTTGTTACAATACTGCGTTGAAAAAAGATTTGAAAAGTCAATAGTTTTTTTTCAATGAAATGTATAACACTGGAAGATTTAGATATCAATGCCAATCGGTTATTTCTTTTACATATGTTAAATGTATAATTTGTAACTGTTTAATTACAGACGCATATAAACAATGTATAAATAAACATACATAGATAGGTTACCAATATAATCTTAAATTCTTATCAATTCTCTCAAGTACTACAGTACGTGTATACTGTGGACTGTCCTAGTATGAGTTACAAAATCGGTTCCGTTTTCATAACAAAATGGCGTAGCCGTTGGGAGGGTAAGTTGATGTGAATTTTTCTTTTTCGATGATATAGGCTGAATCATCACTACCTATTTGGCACAAACTTGAATCAGGGTCTTATGCTTCAGAAAATCGAAGCTTTTGCGAACGAATTATTTCTAAGGAGGATTGGCTCCCCCGGACGAAACCCGATATTTTCCAATAGTGAAAATGTCAGAATGTCGTTATTTTCTGGGATTGTAACTGACTATAAATTCATAATCAACAGTTCAAAAGATTCGAATCAATATTTGGATTTTATTGTTGAACACAAAATAAGAAGATGTTCCCCATCACTCTCAAATACACTTAAGTGTTTATAAACAATATTTAAGTGAAGATACTAGAACGGTCATGATCACCTTGAGATCCAATGGAAGTAAATGGGGGAGGGGGCGAAAATCTATATCGCGATCGATAGGACGGTCAAAATTAAAAACGGCTTTGCCATTTTGTTACGAAAACGGATCCGTTATCGTAACTCACTTTCCACAGTGAGTATACTACTGATCTTCTCCCAACAATATGCAACAACAATGGGTGTCAGCACTAGCGCAAAATGTCACTGCCTTGAGATTATACCTTGTATTTATTTCATTGAACAGGTGTCAAATCAATCCTCAATGTGCTTAAGATATAAAAAGAAATATGTATAAATATGTAACTTAGCTATAGCATATTGTCCTATAATCATGATCGCTATTCATTCATGTGTTTACAACTGGAAGCATATTTTAGTGAATTGCCATTGAGCTTTGGTACTTGACATTATAAGATGTTTGGACTGCGTGCTTTATCAAAGGCCCCTCACTTGCTAACACGCAAGGCACAATGAAATACATTTAATACGATAAAAAATAACATTTTACTGTGTTTACCATCTATTGATAAATCAGATAAGGGTGGGATAAGATTTCGCGAAAGCATGAAGGTATTATACTACCGTTTCACAATGCTTTATATACCAGATGTCCTGGTTATTACAAACCATTGGCTTTATTTGGAAAAAAAAACTAAATATGAAGTTAAATCTAGTGTTGGAGAATATTAATTGTGAATATGCTATTGTTTGTGCTGTGGTGATTTTCTTGTTCATCGCGATTATTAAAGGGACTGTATTGCCTAGTAGCTATGTGTGAATATATAATATATCAAATATTGCCTAGTGGCTATGAGTGAACATATAATATATCAAATATTGCCTAGTAGCTATGTGTGAATATATAATATATCAAATATTGCCTAGTAGCTATGTGTGAACATATAATATATCAAATATTGCCTAGTAGCTATGTGTGAATATATAATATATCAAATATTGCCTAGTAGCTATGTTTGAATATATAATATATCAAATATTGCCTATACTAGTAGCTATGTGTGAACATATAATATATCAAATATTGCCTAGTAGCTATGTGTGAATATATAATATATCAAATATTGCCTAGTAGCTATGTGTGAACATATAATATATCAAATATTGCCTAGTAGCTATGTGTGAATATATAATATATCAAATATTGCCTAGTAGCTATGTGTGAATATATAATATATCAAATATTGCCTAGTAGCTATGTGTGAATATATAATATATCAAATATTGCCTAGTAGCTATGTGTGAATATATAATATATCAAATATTGCCTAGTAGCTATGTGTGAATATATAATATATCAAATATTGCCTAGTAGCTATGTGTGAATATATAATATATCAAATATTGCCTAGTAGCTATGTGTGAATATATAATATATCAAATATTGCCTAGTAGCTATGTGTGAATATATAATATATCAAATATTGCCTAGTAGCTATGTTTGAATATATAATATATCAAATATTGCCTAGTAGCTATGTGTGAATATATAATATATCAAATATTGCCTAGTAGCTATGTGTGAATATATAATATATCAAATATTGCCTAGTAGCTATGTGTGAATATATAATATATCAAATATTGCCTAGTAGCTATGTGTGAATATATAATATATCAAATATTGCCTAGTGGCTATGTGTGAACATATAATATATCAAATATTGCCTAGTAGCTATGTGTGAGCATATATTATATCAAATATTGCCTAAAGTAGCTATGTGTGAATATATAATATATCAAATATTGCCTAGTAGCTATTTGTGAATATATAATATATCAAATATTGCCTATACTAGTAGCTATGTGTGAACATATAATATATCAAATATTGCCTAGTAGCTATGTGTGAATATATAATATATCAAATATTGCCTAGTGGCTATGTGTGAACATATAATATATCAAATATTGCCTAGTAGCTATTTGTGAATATATAATATATCAAATATTGCCTATACTAGTAGCTATGTGTGAACATATAATATATCAAATATTGCCTGCTATGTGTGAATATATAATATATCAAATATTGACTCAGAGAGTGTTGAGATGCAGGATGCTACCTTATGATTTGCATTTCTTCCATGCACTCGAGATGACAATTTAAGAACTAACTTTATAAATACATCTTATTTAAAAATCAGTGCTAAATATTGTATGTGGTATCCTTGCTATATGTATCCGATATGCATGTCAAGTTATTATGCTTTCTAGGCTATCGCTAAATATTGTAGAGTGCAGGCTTAATTCTAAGCAGAAGAAATTCTAATTGAAGACAGATGTATTTTTACATATTGAACAGACAGTAGAGGTAACATTTGGCGCAGTGGTGATCAAAATGCGACACATCGTTTCTAACTTGTTTTATTAAACATTAAGATTGCCTAGAAAGCAATAAATCTCGTTCACACTGTGCGATATGGTAATGCCGGCCATTATTCTGCAAATCCTACTTAATCAGCAGATAGATTAGAATAAATAACGTTTCTTTAACTAAGAAATTATCGCCCAGCTCTTCTTCATGTTATTTTTCAACTGCTCCAAGACCTGAATACAGAGGCAGTAATATCGTCGAAGGCCTATTTCAAATATGTTATTTTCAGATTTTTCATCACCAACAGGCAACAAGAAGTGTTTTTGTGTCCGCCAATCGGCGTCTCTAACAAATTGTTGAGCTTTTGTAATTGCAACTTGCTGGTGAAACGTCAATGTGCAGTATGGCAAGTGATTTTAGACAGTCATATCTTTCACCATTAGTACTTTCTGGGTATAAATACAGTGGTTTTTATTAAAAACAATATGTTTTCTTTAAAGTGAAGTCCCCATGATAGTAAAATATCAATCCAACTCTCTGAAAAATTATGGATTAGGACCCCACCTTGTCACTCTTTTAAAAATGTTTTGCTTATTTTCTAAAAAGTGGATCTTGTTTTTCTCAATTTAAATATATCAAAAAGTTTCTTATACACTATTTTAATAACTTCTGAAAATGGGATTAGTATTAAAATGCGCTAAAGTTAAAGGCAGAATCAGATCTATGGGGGTGAAAAAATTACAAGCAATGTGTACAATTGACCTACCATTTCTATTCTTTACAATTTCAAATACAATATCTCCCAAAAGATTAACGCTATGTTATAAATTGGTAAAGTTATAATGGATTCAAAGTGCAAAAATGAGTGAAAATGTTTAAATTCTCCCAAATAATAAGAATGGTAACCATTCTTATAGAAAAATAATACATTATTGTGAATATCTTTAGTTGTCCTGAAATAAAATATGCAGGAATTGATGATTTTAAAAAAATAGACATGAAAAGGAATGACATGAGCCAGAAATATTCTAAAATTGAACCAATTTTTTGTTGGGCTGCTCGCTAGATCTGATTCGACTCTCTTTAAAAAACAAATATCCCATGTTATTTTCCCGTAGGGAAAACTCATGCTATCCATTGTTTTCAGCATGATTTTGGTCATCGAAAATTGATATCTTCAAAAGTAGACTTTCAATACGATTCTAATTTTGAAGATGTTTTAGTCCCCTTGTTAAATAATCTTTTCATGCAATAAAAATCAGAAAAAGAAGATCCTCCTTTGAGTAAAAAAAATGTTGACGTGGGGTCCCTATTTATAATTTTTCAAACAGTTCGATTGATATTTTTATCATCATGCGGAATTCACTTGAAAGAAAACATATTGTTTTAACAAAAACCACTAGTTATGTATTTATGCCCATAAATTTATTATGATGAAAGATATGACCGTGTAAAATCACTTGCCATACTGCACATGGACCTTTTATTAGGTTATTGAGTTATTTTTCAATGAGATAGAAACTATGGCTTGTGGTCTCTTTGTGATATCGTGCTGTTTACCCATTTGTGATTTAGATCTCATTCAGTTTCCGGCGGCTGATGGAGATATTGATGTCCAATCGAGGAAGTGATTGTAATTTGATATCCCTAAAATCATACGATATTCTCTTTCAGTAAGTCTCTCACTTACATATATGTTATAACATTCCGAAGTCAGACCAAGAAACATGATAGCCACGGTGATATCAGTGATCACGATGTGATGGACGTTTTTGTTTTAATAGACCGTAGTCCGAAGATTTTAACAATCACGTTTTTGGTGTTGGCACTCCCAAAAAATACAGAAATCTCTATTGTAGCCTCTATGTGCACACTGACCAGAGTAAAAATGAAAAAATGCTTACAAGAACACAAGGAACAAGCGCATCAGACGATTTTAAAGTCTATACTAACGAACACCATAATCAATGTATCGGACATTTTTCACACCAGAAAAACATTCTACTCCAGACCACAAAACCTCTCCGACATTCAGATTCAGGCAGTAAACAGGCTAGGTATCACAAGATGAAATGATATTTGACTTATTTCATCCGCAATACGGCTTTAGCTTTTCTTGTTGGTCGATAATTAGTTTTGATGTTACATGCAGAAGAATCAATAACTTCATTGATAGAAGAATTTAGATGCAGAGATGAGTCGAATATGAACCTTCTTGTTGTGATTTATGGAACAAAATTTGCTAATTAGTCTGACTTGGTGTTATTTCAGAATGCCGTATAAAGACTATAAAAGAGGGCGTTGTTGTGAGGGTGTTCGCTCGATACATCACAGGAGCATGGATGAAGGACCCAACGTCTCACCTGGACACAATCTGGGTGTTTATGGACAATGTAGAGGTGAATCGTCTCGTCGAGTATGCGGATGAAGCCGCTTTGAGGAAAGACAATCCTACTGAAACATATCGTCTTCCACGCGCATGCGCTGGAACTGGCCATGTTGTATACCGGGGCTCCCTGTACTGTAATATTCACGGCACCAACCAGATCATGAAATACAGCTTCAACACTCACACTATCCTAGCTCGGGGCATGGGACAGGCTGGTTTTAACAATACCTTCCCATATTCCTCTGGAGGTTCAACCGATATTGATTTTGCAATCGACGAGAAAGGCCTCTGGGTGACATACTCCACCAAGGCGGCGAAGGGTGGCATTGTCATCAGTAAAGTGAATCCCAATACATTAGCATTGGAGCAAACATGGTACACAGACATTCCTAAACAGAAAGTTGCCGATACCTTCATGATATGTGGTGTTCTTTATGCAGTAGTCTACCACGATGACCGACCTAGTGAGATCGAATACATGTACAACACAAACACTAACTCTGTTGTCGCAAATAAAGCACTCTCCTTCGTAAGTTATCCAGAATTCAACGTTATGTTGGATTACAATCCCCGAGAGCGACAACTATACGCATGGAGATTTGGTATGAGCTGGGATGGCCTACTTCTCCAGTATCCCATTACTTTCGAAGATGACTAGATACAATTTCAATTCAAGTATTGTTCCATTGATGATACGACCGGACACAGGCGTACACTCCCCACCCCTCAATAGCACGTGAAACGTGTTGATTTTTTCTTAACGACATAGGTCGGACTTTAATGCTTGAAAATCGCTTAAAAATACAGGTCTTTAACACATGGTCCAAACGTGGAGTTGAGGTTGCCCAACAAATGAGGGAAGTGTATGCAGGTTTTTGACATTGGCATGCGACGTTTTTAGAATTGTAGTATTAAAGTGAGAATTTGTTACATAATAATGATAAAATAATGATGCAAACGCATGTGTTGCGCCGAGATTTGTTTGTTACAATGGATTTTTTCAAGTTAATTGTAAAACCAGATAACCAGAATATATTAATTTATCCTTCGTAATAAGTACTAATACGAGGGTATATCAGTCATAAAGTTCTCATAATATCTCTCTTATATTTTTATTTTACAATTTATTCTAAAGATTTTTTAACAGAATGTGTAGTATGGAATGCTGTATTAATCTATCAAGAAATATTTGGTATAACAGAAATATTATTTAAGATATGGATGCCATAGTAACCGGAAATAAAGGCACCAGGGGCAAATAAAAAATCGTGCAAGAATAGTCCCAACTAACCATGTTTAAATACATATGAGCCTGGCCATAGGAAAACCGGTCTTATCACAAAAATTAAAATTGTGCTACAGAGCCAAAAATGTGCCCACGATTAAGAGGAAAATGTGCTAAATTCAGATCCGACTTTTTGGTCTATATATGCAAGGAAAAATTGTTAGGACATAAGCCATGGCTCATTTGAAAGGTTTCTTTGTGCTTTTTAAGATCAACAAAAAATCAGAATATTGAAAAAATCTGTGACAAGACCCCTTTTCCTGTGGCCTGGCTCATATAATAAGTTACCAAATAAGCTATGAAACACATAAAATTGTTAAATGCCATGTGTTCCTGACTATTTTGAACAATTATAATGGTCATGTGAATTGTGTGATCTCATAATGGATGGTTGTAATGCCTTATTATGCACCATTCAAAAGTTTGCGTGAGACCCCCCCCCCCACGCGGGCATGGGTGGGGAATTTGTCAAAAAAAATTGGCCTGTCTAATTTCTTACCCTTGGGCAAAATAAATGTGTCAATTTCCCTACCCTTGGAGCAATAGATCTGGTCATATATTCGCAACCCCCGGGACCTTCCACCATTTGAAATCCATTTTTAAACATCCGATTTCCTTGTTAGTAGACTAATGCTCGTAAATGTTGAGGGATACACGTGCAGTACTTTGTTTATGTCAATATTTTAATTAGAGACACCATATATATGGTCATATGATTCTTCGCGGAAAGTCCACTGCACATGCTACAATTAATTTATAAATGAAATATTCTCTTGCGATTTACAAATAACCAATAGAGAAGCAGGTTTTTTTAATGACGCAATTACCTGAGAAATTAAAAGCCAATGAGAATACAGTCCAATCTATGACGACGTTTTCGCAAATTGCCTGAACGTTTTGACAAAATGAGCCGAGAGGGACGTGGTTTTACTCTTGGTTTGTATCTGTTCAACAAAAGTGGAGAACATACCTGTATGAACGATCATTTTTTATGGAATGGGCGGGTTGATTGTTACGTTTGATGGGTACAAATCGGGAACAATTCCACATCGTAGTAATTTGCGAAAGGTCTTGTAATTTATGCAATGACGTATTTTATTGGCTTTTTACTTTAATAGGTTGCCTCCCTCCGTTTTATTCATCTATATCAAATTAATTTAATTTAAATTCGTTCGAACGTGACTTTTTTCAAAAATTAATTTTAATTTAATTAATCATCTATATTAAATCAATTAAATTATGACGAGCTTTTAAATATAAGTAGAACGCGGGAGGGCATTTTTCCGAAGGGGGGCGAAAACAAGCCTGACAAACCAATAATCAAGACACTGTTCAGTATTCTAAAAGTCCTCTCTTCGGCGGTTATTCTCGCTGATTCCACCCCTGAAACTATATCCAACGTGTAGATGAATTATTTTCTTCTGTTCCCGATATGAGCGATAATTAGTTCACTGAATATACCGATCATTTGCACGAAACAGATTCAGTCAAAGAATATTTTTTGATAGATTAATACACAGTTCTATACTGCAGATTTGATGAAAATTCCATTGGAATATATTGAAAAATAAAAAAATTAGATAGATATTATGAGAACTTTATGATATACCCTCGTATGTTTTACTTTCAAAAAGATAAACTTGAAATCTACCTCAAATGGTGCTTGATACAATTCTCTTGTCATCGAGAGTTTGTAAGTACATATCTATGTTTATAAGAAAGAATTCCTTTAAAGAACTGACCGTAATCATAACAATTCCCGTAAAATTACTTTCACTTTTATTTTACGACATGTGTGTCGAGGAAAAGGACATCAAATTAAAGTAAAGATGAATATTAGTGATTGTAAAACAGTTTGTTTGGTTCAAACAAACATTGTCAACTTACTTTTTATTTATTCATTAAAGTACAATAAAATAAATTCAACCTGACAATATGATTTTGTGATATATGGTGCAATGATTATATCGGTATTTGTCTTCGGGTAGGAGGAGTTTACATGTAACACATAGTGCGGTGATGCACCCTATTGTAATGCTGTAAGGAGGTGGCATAATCACTGGCGGATCCAGAAGGTAACAAGGAGGGGGCACATTTCAAGTCAGGAAAAACATTTCCGCGCTTGCAAGGACATTTTTTGGCCCCCTAAAACCCCCAAATTGGGCCCAAATTTCTGAAATTTAAGGCCAACTTTTTATAATTTGGTCTAAAAGAGTGATGCCCAAAAAGGCCAATTTTCTCGGCGCACCCAATGGTGCCGCATACCTGTACAGTCAGCTCCAGTAACTAAATCAACATTCGAAATTCGTATGTTCACCAATACTGATTTTGGTTTTAGTTTAATAATTTTTTTGCGTCTCACGCTAATAAGAATAAAAATTTCACAGTATAAAATCAAAACCTTTAGCCCAGCCGGCATTCGGCTTATGAGAGACTGAAATATAGTTAAATACTTGTTATTTAAAGTTGTAAAATCTAAGATTAATCAATAAAATACTTTTTGCGATTTAAAAGCCTATTGTTTACAACCTTATATAGCTTATGTTCGTGTGAGGTTTTCATTTGTCATGAGACTACAGTGTTTAGACAAACTAGATAGTTGGTCAAAGTTAATTATGTGTAATCTGGCTTTCTCAAATAAGTTAAAGTTTGATGAAGTGAACAGTCCACGAGAAGGTGTATCTCGTCCTCGACGATGTCACGCTCACACATACATGTTCGTTCGTTACCAGTGTATCTACCAGTTTCAGATCTCAGTGGCAGTGTACCCGTTCTGAGTTTAGCTAGATTGGAGCGTTCATATCTATTAAGGCTAATGCGAAGATAGTGTTCGGGTTCTGTTTTGTGGATCTTGTAGAGTCGATATGTCCTAAGTTTATTTCCGTTTTCCTGGTTCCTAGAGTCGTTTCATATGGAGTTGTGCCAAACTATATTCTGCTTTGTTTTGTATTTTAACTGCTGGCGATCCTGAGGTGACGTTTGCACTCCATGTGCCGGCAGCGTATAACGGAATTGGGTCGACCATCGAGTCGCAATGCTGGAAATACACAATTGTAGTTCATTTCTTCTTTAAGACGGAATTTTGTCATAATTGCTCCTAGGGCATGCGTGGCTGATTTGGCAAGGATGGATACCGATTTAGACATCCCTGGGTATAGTCTGTCACGTGACTTCATGGATGACGTGTGCGCGAGTGATTCGCATTTTCTTTCGCTTGGGGTTTGTAATCACACCTTTTACATGTTTTAAGATTTTGTATCTCTTTGAAACTTGTCCCGTACCATCAATGTCTAAAGACGATCTCATTCACCAAATATCTCATCCAAGCGTGTCCCGGTTAAACAGAAATTCGCACTTTTGTGTCTCGCAAAATGACGTGTGCGCGAGTAAATCGAATTTTACGAAGGATGGGTGCGCGAGTCTAACATATTTATATTCATTTTAAACAATTCTGCATTTGTTACACGTCTTGCACCTGAACGCTTCCGTCAATCCACATCCTGACGCATGGCGTCGAAGACTTTTGAGATGTTGGAATGTTTTTTGACAGTTATCACATGTATATGGAAGTCGCTGTCCATGGCTAATCATATGATCATTAAGATCCTCGATTCTCCTAAATGACATATCGCATTGAGAACATTGTTTTACATCAATACCATGTTTGCTTGCGCGGTGATATCTTAAGCCTGATTGGCTTTTGTATTCTGCACCACATATATCACATAAGTATTCTTGAGGAGTTCTGTCTTGTGGTTTCTTAATTGGCGTCGATGTAAGAACAACTTCATGGCTCACATTAAATGAGTCATCGAAAAATGAGCCATCTAGACTTCTGACAGTAGTTTCTAAACCACTCGTGCTTGGGCTATCCATATTAAATACCTGAAACTAATAATAACAAGTGAAATGTATAAACAGTTACAAAAACAATTTCCTTATGAGTCGTTTCATGAAATTGTTCTAGAATTGTAATAAATACTACGAGGCATTAACATGACAAAATGTCACTACCTAGTTGCTCACAATATTATGAGTTCAAACTTAAGTCAGATTTGAATTTCTGAGAACTTGTAAAGTCAAATTTGAACTTCTGAAAAGATGTAGATGATTTTGAAAAAAAAATTTGGTCAATTTGAAGCAAGTTGAAAACAGACCTTTTTGACCTTTTTTGACCTTGAGAAGGTCATTAAAGGTCAAATGTCAAATCTAAAGTCAGATTTGAATTTCTGAGAACATGTAGATGATTTTGAAAATTTTTTTTAGTCAATTTGAAGCAAGTTGAAAAAAGACCTTTTTGACCTTTTTTGACTTTGAGAAGGTCATTGAAGGTCAAATGTCAAATCTAAAGTCAAATCTAAAGTCAGATTTGAATTTCTGAGAACACGTAGATGATTTTGAAAAAAAAATTTAGTCAATTTGAAGCAAGTTGAAAACAGACCTTTTTTACCTTTTTTGACCTTGAGAAGGTCATTGAAGGTCAAATGTCAAAACTTAAGTCAGATTTGAATTTCTGAGAACACGTAGATGATTTTGAAAAAAAAATTTAGTCAATTTGAAGCAAGTTGAAAACAGACCTTTTTGACCTTTTTTGACCTTGAGAAGGTCATTGAAGGTCAAATGTCAAATCTAAAGTCAGATTTGAAGGTCAAATGTCAAATCTAAAGTCAGATTTGAATTTCTGAGAACATGTAGATGATTTTGAAAAAAAATTTAGTCAATGTGAAGCAAGTTGAAAAAAGACCTTTTTGACCTTGAGAAGGTCATTGAAGGTCAAATGCCAAATCTAAAGTCAGATTTGAACTTCTGAGAACATGTAGATGATTTAGAAAAAAATTGAAGTCAGTCTAAACAGTATTTGTTAAGTTATAGGAAGTTGTAAGAAATTGTTACAGACGCCGGACGCCAACCGCCGGACGCCAACCGCCGGACGCCAACCGCCGTCGCAAAAAACGGAGACCATAACAATATGTCACCACTTTTGGTGGTGACATAATAAGGGCACGGTGTTTTCTAACTAATAACTACCTCAATAATTTATGATACCTTAAAGTGTTCTTGGGGTATATATTTTTAAACCAAATTCAAATCATTTTTAGTAGGGGAGGGGGAGGTATCAAGATTTTACCCATCAGAATACCTTGCTTTGGAGACAAATGCATGGTAGTGACGGGAATCATTACCCAAACTATATTGGGCGCAAATCAATTTTGTATTTGACTTTCTATTATGCTGTTCTTCAATTGTTTTTTACAAATGGAGGATCTGAGTACACGAAAGCTCATATTATATTGCTACATTTATAGCGAACATTGATTTCTGAGTCTGTAAAAACAAAGTATGTGGGATCACCCTTGGTATACGCAGCTGACGAAATGGACCGGTATGGGTCAAAAGCTGGACCTGTACGGGTGAACTTTGGGGGTACTTAAAATCATTCAGAGGGATCATATATTTCAACTTAGATACGAAGAAGTCAATATTGAGCAAGTTATAGCTGTTTTAAATTCAAATAAAACCGTTAACCCGTACCGGTCCAGCTTTTGACCCGTACCGATCCATTTTGTCAGCTGCGTATACCAAGGGTGGGGATGCGGAAGAAGTTAGAAGCTCCTATAATTATTTGATATTACTTGGTATCATGGGCTTCCCCTTACTATTCCTTACATGGTCCTGATCGTGGCGGATGCCGAGTAACAACATAACAACTCTGACCCCCCCCCCCCTTGTATGGGATGTCAATAAATGAATATGCTGCCGGTTTTATGAGACCGCCAAAAATTTAATTCAATTTTTGGTTCAAATTTTAATTCACCTGCAATGCCGGACAGCCCTACAAGCTATTTCAAAACATTTATTGTCATTAAACGTAGACATGTATGTGCCATACATGAAACATCTACAAAATAGCAAACTATTCTTTAACATACTACTTTAAGATGACAAAAACAAATGTCACGTGAGTTGTATTCTGCCTTAGCTTGCAGAATTGTCTCAAGTGAATAAAAATATTTTAGACTCGCGCACCCATCCTTCGTAAAATTCGATTTAATCGCGCACACGTCATTTTGCGAGACACAAAAGTGCGAATTTCTCTTTAACCGGGACACGCTTGGATGAGATTTTTGGTGAATTAGATCGTCTTCAGACATTGATGGTACGGGACAAGTTTCACAGAGATACAAAATCTTAAAACATGTAAAAAGTGTGATTACAAACCTCAAGCGAAAGAAAATGCGAATCACTCGCGCACACGTCATCCATGAAGTCACGTGACAGACTATACCCAGGGTGATATCCATGTGCTCATTTAACGTAAGTCCTAAATATTTGTATTGTGCTGCATATTCAATAACATCGTCACCACATTGAAACACGAATTGGGACCGCATGTGATCCTTTGGACGATGGTGGATAATGTTCGTTTTCATAGCATTAACCGTCATCCTCCATTTGCAGCACCAAGTAAACATGGTATTTAGCATTTCTTGAAGGTTTTGCTCTGTTGGGGCTATCAAGGCAATGTCGTCCGCGTAAAGCAAAATTCCGATATTTATGCCATCAATAGGAACTCCCATATTTAGGGACTGTATCTCGTGGACTAAATCATTGGCGTATAACGAGAAAATTGTCGGAGATAGCTTACAGCCTTGTTTCAACCCAGTTTCTACGTCAAACCAGCTTCTGAGCGTTAAATTTATCCTAACTGAGTCACTGAACACCAGCATATAATGATTGGATCGCACTAAGTATTCGACCCTTAACTCCCGCCATAGATAATTTGGTGCCACAATTGAAGTAAACCTCTGGTTAATTATTTTCAATATAACTATCAACAAACGTGTAAATGATAATTTTGATGTTCTGTCACATAGGTGAAGCAATCTTGGGGATATGGCCTAATTTTCTGAATTTCCACTCTGTTCCTGTATACCCCTACTTCAAAAGATGTTATTTGCCATTTTTCATTATGAACCAACAATAAATGTATTTTTTCTTGTTTACATATAGAATGACATTTCTGTTTTCGAAATCGAATATTGACAGATGGCACTGCATTTATTTTTTTCATGATATGGAGCAAACAAATGCGTGTCAATTCACACTGTGGTATCCTACATACTTATATTTCAAGGGTAGTTTTGAAGGATTATCAAAAAAATCCATGTTTTCAAATGGATTCATCCTTGTCAAAGAACGTGAATGAGGATATGCTGTTTGAAAACCTAACAACATATTTCAAGTTCTTACAATTCTTGGTTGACAAAAACAAATATTTTGAAAGTTGTGATTGCTGAAGTTTTCGGTAATCTCTTACCACTGTTACTTCCAACTTAATTTTTGAAAGCCAAATGTGATGGTCACGAATTGATATTTAAGTCACACGTTGATGCATATATATAGACGTGTCGCAAAAAGGTGGCGCATTTGTTTTTTAAGGGTATCGCGTGAATGTAACTTTGATTCCCCGGATTATAAAACAATATTCTAATTAAAGTTATATATCATTTTAAAGCTGTTTCGATGAAGTTTTTAGATCAGCTAAACTCCGTTCACAATTCTTGCGCGTTCTTTTTAAAAAAGAGTTTTTTACCAAAACATCTGGCAAATATCCCCTGTTGACACGTTACATTTTGAATTATTTTTCTTTAAACGCTCATAACTCAAACAATATATGACTATTATACTTATTTTTCGTCTTGATAAAGGTAGATAGAAGTTTTATTTCAAAGGATGATTTTTAGTAAGCGTCCCATATTGTGACGTCATAGAGTTTGAAAATAGAATCTGTTGACAGCGACCTTTTTTGCTTTTTTGTTACCTACAACTTTTCAGGTGTACGTTAAACAAAAAATACGAGATCAATTTTTAATAAATCATACATGATTATTTTGCTCTTAAACTCTTGTTTATTAATAAATAGTTGATTTTGTTCGCAAAAGTATGTGTTTTCTGTTGTATGTGGAAAAGTGGAGGACGAAAGGTTTTCAAAATTCATTAAAATAGGGCTGATTTACGCCATTCGCCTATTTTCAAGCACAGCAACACGTATATTTATTTCACCTAAAATATCAATTGATTCGTGTTTTATGATGCTCCTAGCCCATTAACAATATATCTATGATATCAGAGTGCGAGGATCCTCTGGATTACGCCACAAAATGTGTAACAATGCGTGCGCGACCTTTTTGCGACACATCATAACATCATATGTGTACATTAACTGTCGATTACATGCCGACTTACATTTATATAATATCCACAGTTACTCAAAGTTAAACAGAGCAATGAAATTGCACGAAACCTTTTGTGAACGATTTTTCATGAATCCTCCTTCGAAGTGTTACCAAAGTGCTCCCCGGGAGTGGAAATTTCGTCTTGAGCAATCAAAATAATAACGGTTAGTTTGAATTTTTGTTTGAGTTTATAGCTTACATCTCTGAATTTAAAAACATATCGCCTCACTGAGAGGTTCGGGCGATTTTGGCGATCTATCATTATAAAAGGCTAAACATTGTGAAAAACACGAGTGGACACGCTGACATTTGGAATTGAAATTCTCCTACATTATTGTCGACTCATGTTTAAAAGTCATGAAAACAAGGTTGAGCAGAAAACATTGTCCCAATTGTTATGTTGTATTCCAAGAAACTTATCAATTTAGAAATGCAAAATGTTCAATTTAAATTTGTTTTTCAATTAGAAAAAATGGCACCTGTAGAGAACAACAAAATCATTTAAAAAGGAGATATTTACTAAATGTAACATTCGTTGGCATGTGTCATGAAGTAAATAACAAGAATATGCTTTTGATTCTATATGTTATGTTATGTTATATTTATTTTCATATTATAATTAAATACAATTTGAATAACAAGGTATGCACAAGACGCTGGGTGTATAATGTACAGTTTACACCACATTTCATATTACATTGTAGTATATATATAGCAAGAGCACCTTCTCTGATGATAAGAATCACTAGATTAGCAATGAAACATGAACAAAATGAACCATGACATGATATTTGATATTAGATGTACTGTAGGTGGAGAGGAGAAGTGATTTCAAAGAAGATTTAAACAAAGATAAAGTAGAAGACATAATGATGTTTTCATTTACTCCGTTCTATACTCTTGATAGTTCTACTTTTACTGACTTTTCACCAAATTTGTTTTTAATCATATATGAACGTTGGCGGTCTTTATTTCTAATTTCATGGTCATGTGTATCAGCATTTGTAGAATAGAATTGTTTAAAAAGGTGATGTGGGAACTTGTCAGATTTATTCATATTTTGGTATGCAAAGTTGGCAACATTGAAGTTAAATATGTCATAAATATTTAGGATTCTAAGATCTTTCAATAAAGGGGCGGCATGAGCTAACTTACTAGTATCTTGTTCCTGAAGAAATTTGTTAAGGAGCGCTATATTTTAACGTACTTTTATCATCCCGAACTCAAATATTTCTAATACTTATATTTCGCGAAAACTTTGTTGAGAATGGATTCGAAATGTACTCAAAATTAATACGTTAAAATGTGTATTATCATTTTAATAATTACACGAATCACCTCACAAATTATTTTGGAAAACAAAGATGTACGATTTTTGAGATTTTTATTTTCGAATGTTGACTTAGTTACTAGACTTGGCTGTGTACCTGGACTGACTATTCAGCCAACCATGATCCAAGGTGAATAAATGACATAGCATTGAAAAGAGGAGAAATGTGGTTTCATGATACATTGAATGGAATAGATATACAGTCATCGCTGGTTTTGCGGATTTACGATGTATTAGTTTGATTGCGTTTTTTGCTCACCCCATTCTCGTACAACGACGTGTTTTTGGCAGGGGCAGATTTCCCAAAGATGACCTGTAGTATTCAGCACGTTCGATAACGAATTTTATCAACAGGCCTCATTTGCCATTGAAACGGATCTCTCAATGTTCGCTGTTGTTGTACGAGTATTCTCTGCAAGTTTTTGGATCGAGTAACTTCAATAGTATTACAGTGTCTACATTTCTCACTTTTGCACTAGTGCACTCATGTACCTAGAAAAGAATGTAAAGAAGAATGTTTTCACAAAATGTATAAAAACAAGAAAATTCAGTGAAAAATTCAGAAAATTTTCAGAGTTTTTTTTTCACTGAATTTCCTCGTTTTTTATATATTTTACTGAACAAATCTTCTAACCAGTCTTTTCTAGGCACTAAAGTGCACTAGTGCAAAACTGGAAGATGTAGACAATGTAGGGAAGGAGTGATTCTTGTTTGAAAAATAACATGTGACTCAATTGAGGTATGCAAAAAAATCATGCATGCAACCTGGCCTTAAACCACAAAACATTTCTAATTTATTTTGGTTATTCATTTTATTAATTATTTGATACTATCACTAGAATAAGCGAAATTTTCTAAATTAGTACAAACTATTTTATTTTTTTACATACTTCAAATTTATTTCTAAAAATCAATCGGTTACATTTTTACAAATTGCCATTGTTGACAGGACAACATTATCGGCAATTGAAACAATTTTGATAAGTAAAAAAATGGATATTCAGAAATACACAGAATGTTCAGAGAAGCTTTTTCTTTTTTGTTGTTGTTTGGTTTGCTTGTTCCCCAGTACCAAGTGATGGTATCAAGATCAAATGTTAAAAATTACCCTGTCCCAGACTTTGTATAGTTTGAAAAGTATAGTGAGCAGTGATTTCAATCAGTTTTTCATTTGTTTCAATGTCCAAAGTTTCATCTCCATTTAATAGAAAATATGTTTTCCTTTGAATTGAGTGCTTTGAATTGAGTTCAAAATTACGTAAACAGTTCAAGTCTGATAGTCCTGCAAGAAGAACTTCACGTTCATTAAGTAGCAGTGGACACTTGCTATTTTCATAATTGGATAATTAGTAATACAGTCATGTATTAAACTTGATCATGAGAATGTACTCGTTTGTTAACTTTGGAAAGATATTTATAGTACAATTCTCTGTAAAATATCAAACTATACACTGTATGAAATTAAGATCATTTTTGCATACACTTATTGAACGGCCAGGAAATTAAAGTAAAAACTGATTCTGCTCGACAATTGCGATATATTTTCGTTTCTCCCCCTATCACATCAAACTAGTTCTCAACCGTTCTTTCCAGTCATACAAGTCGTAAAACAGGCTTAACGCGTCCCTAGTAGGGTCAGAGTACGGCAATTACGTTCCTAGTGTAGTAGGTCATCTCGTTTGAAGTACGTTGTTACAAGATCTAATGTTGCTAACTCGTTCATACGTAGTACGTCCTTAATCAGTTTAAACCAGTTTGCAATTAGTTCTACTTCGCTCTCCTCAGACAATTAAACTTGTTCTAAAAACGTCCATACTCGGATTGAAGTTCGACAGTTCCGTACGTAGTACGTCAAGCTCGTCTTAAATATGCTGTCACTCTTCTAATTGCAGAACGTGGCGACTATCAGAAAATGTTGAGCATGCTCTAAGTTCTGGAGGACGTAGACCCCACGGTTTTAAGTACGTCTAATCTGTTCGTACACAGTTTAAGCTCGTTTTCGAGAAAGTATATGTCGTAAGAACAAGTTGTGAGAACTAGGTGGCCAAACTGCCCTAATTCACGTCACCATACTAGCCAATGGGCAAAAGGTCAAACGCCTGACTTTTTATCTCGAGTTATGGATTTATGTGGCCTCATGGGCCTATCTGAGGTTCTTAAGCTATATCTAAGCTACATTTTGACAATAAGCACAATAGGGGCCAAATATCTACTTTTTGAAATAATTGGTCAATTGTGACACTACCCCCTCCTCTCTGCCGACAGAAATTGAAATTCACAAAAATGAAGGCAAACTTAATACGCCACTTGACTAGACATTTTCCTTTTCCTACTGACTCGTCATGATCACAAATGTGTTGAGACTACATTTATTTTTGAAAACTACTTTTTTCGGAAGTGACATATAAGGGCATTTTGGCCGGTGTGATAGTAGCTTTACCTATCCCTACTGTGTTGTGTCGTATCAAGTTGCAAAGGTCATGTGACGACTATCCCCCCGTTTGTTGTTTGATACTAAATTTTGGATCAGTAAAGCAAATATTAGAATAAATTTCTTGATCAAAATAGTTTCTTTTAAGTTTTACACACATCTTTTTTGCGATTCTGCAAAACATTGTGAATGCATTTGAACATTCTGAGGTTGTGTCGAACCTGTAAAAAGGGCGTGCCTGAGAACATAATAGGTTAATGTATTCAATATCAAGGTTCTACATGCACAGGTAGACCTCATCTCTATATGAATCGATCTTTGTCATACATGTTTATACATCCTTGAACTTTGCACATCTCTAGATCTTGTGTCTTCGCTGAGATTTGTTCACGATACGATCCAATAGTTTCTTTGCAAGACTTATTTCAAGATCCTCTTCAATATCTGAAAAATATGAATGCAAATAATTAACATGCATACTGCTATATAATAGTATTTAATTCGAATCCCTGTTCAACCATTCTTATTCTTTTATTGAGTTAAACATATATATTTATTTATTTATTTTGTTTAAGCGTCGTGAGTCATAAAACATATAAAATACAATTAAAACACCCCAGGCCGACAACGACACTTTAAATACATGTAGATCATTTATAATGAAAATTTTCTAGAAGTTTTAGCATTGCATGGCCACAGGCCCTTGCAACAAATAGGTAAATACTAGCATTGCTCATTAAGTTAAAAAATTCAAATCTCTTATATCAGGAACATATCATAGTGAAACGTCCACGTCCTCTCATGATACTTTTGATACTCTGGTGATTATACACTGTGTTATGAAGACATGACAAGAAACACAGTGATAAATATGCACTTTAAAGAGAACAACTGTCATCATGTAATTACCCTGCATGTCCAAAACCTAATCAGATCTTGGCACTAGTCTAGCTGCTCTTGCATCTGTCAAAATTTCAAGTTACACAGATTAGCGGTTTTCCTGGAATTTTGATGACAAGAATCGATTTTTATTGTATAATATCGTTTGTGACCTAGTTTGACTACTTTGACGGACCTTCGACCCTGAAATGTTACTTTTCATACTTCAGTAGGTGTTTTGGAATCAAACTTACCTGATTTTGAATAAAAAATACATTTAAATCAACTAATAATTAATAACCTTTTTGACCTTTCGAGAGTCACTGAAGATCAAATCACAAATCTAAGGTCAGTTTTGAGCTTCTCAAAACTTTAGATGATTAAAAAAATTTGATCAATTTGGAGCAACTTGAATAATTCAAAATGGTCGATTTATCAAAGAACTCGAAATGGTCACCAGTAGTAGTGAGTAGCTCCCATAATTCTTTCATATTCTATCGTATTCAGGGATTCCTCACTATATGATTTCCAATCAAATTGCAGGATGTGATCACGTGAACAATCATGAGCACATGCTCTCTCAGTGCCGCGCATGCGCAAAGTAAAATTTGAAATCGTGGAAATGACGTTAACATCAGTTCAATATCATCATTTCAAAACTACGGTAATACTATAACTGAAGTAACTCGATCCAAACTTAAAGAGACTGCTCATAAAACAACGGTGAACATTGAGAGATTCATTTCAATGGCAAATGAGGCCTGTTTATAAAATTTGTTATCCAACGTGCCAATACGAAAGGTCATCTTTGCCCCCCCCCCCCTGATGGCCACCATGTAATTTACCAAGCATACCCAAAACCTATTCAGATTTTGACACTAGTCTGTTTTTGTATCTTATAAAATTTCATAAAAGTTAAACAGACGAGTGAATTTCCTTGAATTTTTCAGTGATGTCAAGATTTATTGAAAATTAAAAATGATCACCCAGCATGCCTTCAACCTAATCTAACCTGGCACTTGTATGTGGTTGCATCTGTAAATATTTCAAGTTGAGAAAGTAAGTGGTTTTCCTGGAATTTTGATGGTAAGATTCGATTTATGTGGCACCCGCCCGCACACCCGCCCATTCGTGGCCTGCCCATCATCACAATACGACTACAACATAGCACATTTTCAAAGTGCGATATATAATTAATGTTTGTCGCGAATTGTCGGTACTTTCAACAATATGTATATTCAAAACTTAACTGAGTTTGTTTGAAATGAATACATAAGCATAATAATGACTATTCTTTCGCTAAATGTATGTAGCTTATTTCTTACCTTTCAATTCTGCCTGGTGTCCGACTTGGACATCTGTATTCTCTCGTTTGCTAGCCTCGATCTCCTTTTTCAATGCTTAAATAAATTTAACAAAAATTACATTATAATAATGCTAGTTAGTATCACATGCTCTGTAAAATTCCAGTAATCTGATTGGTGGATTACCGTGTCAGCCGGGCAGCAAGACCCCTGGATTCAATTGTCTACGTTGTTTGGCATTAAAATGTGGTGTTCTTCCGCGGAGAGAAAGTAGTTCGTTAATTGGATTTCTATAAAAATGACAGCCTGTTTCAAACTAAGTTTAAGGGTATTAGGAAAATGTTTAAATGTATATTTATCCAATATTATGTGAGAGTGTAGTCTCAAGCGTCGGTCTGATGTACTTTTGAACGAATATCTTATTCATGGAAGTGTCTGTGACGTATTTCCACATGGACCCAATACGATATATTTTTTAACCAAAATAACGCTTGAATCGCAAATTTTGCTGGGCCGTTTGATGATAACGTTTGTTATATTTTATCATATTCAGATATGTGATAGCCCTAATGACGCCGGTTCTTTTCCAACTTGTGGCGTAATCAAAATCACAATATGAGTTGGCAAGATCTGACTTTGAAATTGGGCTTCGCAATTCATACAATTTCATTTTTTATTTTGACATGAGCAGAAATAAAGGTTTTAAACTCTACCAGAAACTTACAGAAAGTCTAAGAAAGCAATTTATTTTAAAAACATACATTCAAATGCATCTTTGCTGAAATTTCTAATGTTAGGTATTAAAGCTACTCACTTTTATCGATGTTTTACTGCAGACGATGATTATTTGCACTGTAGAAAAACTAAATAATTTTTGAGCCAAAAATAAGTCTGGGCCGTTTTATGATAACGATAATTTCATTTTCTCAAATAAGTGTTTTTTTATAGTGCTGATTCCAAATGTTATTGCTGTCTCAATAATCAATTGAAAGACGCATGAAAAGTTGGGGAATTTCAATCATGAAGATAGGTGTAAAATGACAGGTCCCCAATCAATTATATACGGCGCCATCTTTATTTGCATAGTTCAAGGTCACTGAAATATTGCTGAAACGTACAGTCTTTCCTGTGTTATTTTGCGATAATATGGCTCAATTAGGTTAAGTTATTATCTTTCCTTGTTGGGAGGTGTCATACATTTATATAAGATGTCAACTAATTATCACAAAAAGGTATGTATAATTTCATTATTACGTTACGATTATTTTTTCAAGAATTTGATTTTGGATTTTGTGAATTTGATCCTGATTTTTCAAAATGAGGTCTAACCGTTGTGCAGGTCCTCATCATATCGTACGCATTAGAATTTCAGAAGTAAGGTACTGTACATGTATCTCCAACTGGAAATGAAAGAATATTATAAGAATTCCACTAAACTTCCGAATATGATGAATGAACTTCGATGAAGTCAGTCTAGAATGATTTGAACATTTAATGTACCCAAGATCTGGCTATAGCCTCTTTTGAGCTTGCATATGTGATGATCTGAGGAGACAAAACCTGAAATATTTTGTAAAAATATTAGTCCCCTGGTGAAATGATGTTGAAGACATGAAGTTTTACCTTAGAATGCTGAATCTTTTAAATCAACTGAATTGTCCCTATGTTGTGGCAGAAGAACTAGCCGTTTGATTGTAGTTTGAAGAAGTTATGACATGAAACATAAGAATTCGTAGAAATCTCTAGGTGTCGTCCGCCATATTGGATTGCATTCGAAAATAGTCTCACTTGACGACCAATACGTTTCGATGTTAAAATGTGATTCAACGCACTAAATATGGAATCTTCTACATAATAACTTAAAGATGAACTCTATGATCGTAATTATATATATGACGGCGATGTATGATACCGATAGCGTGGTAAAAATGGTGATTCTAGATTGACAATGGTGCGTGACGTCATTAATAATGCGTTCGTGATTGGTTCCTCTATAAAAGAGTGAGGCGGGGAATTTGAATTGTCTTTGGCATTGGTAACTCGGAGTGGCAACACGTACTCTGAATGGTGAGAGTCCGCGACAGCCCTATAAATGTTATTTGTAATATAATTTCCCGTCCCAAGTGTGTCTGAATGTTTGGACTTGTGTTTGAAATTGGTTTTGATGACATTTTGGTAGTGTTCTTTGAATAATTGTGTGTGGAAGTCCGCGACTGGTCTGCGACTTTTGGTAGAAAAGTCCGCGACTTTTGATGATTGTTGGATTTGTAATTCATGATCTAGAATTGTATATCCCAGTGTGTGGACAGTGTTTCTAATTGCTTATGAATGATTCTTGAGGTATAATAACAGTGTGAAATGTGACGTTCAGTACGCGACTGAATGGAATAACTGACAGCTGATTTGGTCTAGACGTTTCTGGGCAATTGTGGTCAATTACCGAACAAATTTAGAGTCTTTCATATAGTTACTGACTATTGGTATGTGATTGATTGGGAATAAAAGGCACATTGATAATTCAGTTGGTATACATATATTGGAAAGAAACACTTTAGAAGCAAGAACTTGGGCCGCTACCATTATATTGATTAGTTCTTGGAATATGCACTGAGTGACCTTTGTGTGTGCGAAACCTGGTTGTTATGGGATATTGGATGTGGAATAAATACTGATTGATGAATTATTAGTGGAGATATCATAGCAGTGACATATCTTCTACATATATTAGAGACATTTTGAATAGATAATCATCTTAACTGAGGGATTTAAGTGTACATATTATAGGTTAATAAACGTGTATATAGTATTGAATATAAACTAAGTGTCAGTTTCCTGATTTAGCATCTGGGTCTAGTTGTGTAGAGACCTTGCATGCTACAAAAATTGGTGGCAGTAGTGTTTGACGATACTTTACGTGATACTCGGAAGTGATTTAAAAGGGAAAAGACACTTGTTTTGTTCTATATTATTGCATATATTTATCCTTATTGTACACATATATGTGAAAATGGCTGAAGGCGGAATGGATGTGCCTGAAATTACGTTTAAAAATCCAGAGTTGGTGATGAATGGGGATGTTGACCAAAGACCACATGTTGCTCTTGGCTCCAGACCTGTTTCTGTTTCGGCCAATTCAGATTCTGGTATGGAAACGATGGCAAGATGTATGAAATCAGATAAATACAAACCTATTGAAACTGTGGTTTCTGCACCCAATGCTAGCTTGGTTGATGTTACCCCATTATCAATGGTAAATGAGACGGGAACTCAGAAGGATTTGATATCCAGAAAAAGGTTGGATTTCAATAGATTAAATTCAACAAGTATGAATAATGAACACCAAAATCATGGAATGGTGACTATGGAACAATTGAATGAAGAAATTGGATCTTTGTTTGAATTATTAGAGGAACAGAAGAAAAACATTGGTCAGTTAGGTGAAACTGGCTGTCTGTCAAGTGAGACTGGTACCAAAATGCTGCCCTTTGAATTAATGCGCAGTAGTTCTGGAGAGGGAAATTGCAGTGGAACGTGCAAGAGCTCTGTACAGGGAATAAACCATAGCCTGGCCATGGGTGGAATTGGAAAGGGCATGCACAATAATTCCAGAGATGGGAAGAGCAATGGTTCTGTACGCACTAGCTGTGGATCGTTGGGGGGATTAATGAAAAATCCCAGGTTCAACGATGATATGGGGGGGAGTAATGAAACTCCCAGCTCCCATGATCCGGGGGGAAGCACTGGTGCTTCCAGCTCCCAAGTCTTGAGGGGAAGTATGGACACTTCCAGCTCTCAAGAAGCATTAGGTACCAGGGAGACAGTGGAAAAGCAGAAGTTGAATGTATTTAATTTACCTGCAGGAAATGGTACATGGTATAATGTGAAACAAGCAGATGTTGTTCCTGACAAATTTAAAGGCACAAGTGAAGTAGCATGGAGAGATTACCAAATACATTTTGAAACAGTGGCGGTGATTAATAATTGGAACGATCCCCAAAAGGTGGCTCATTTGGCTGTCAATTTACGGGGAGATGCACAGCAATTATTGGGTGACATGAGTACAGCCACAAGAAATAATTACTCAATGATGGTTGATGAGTTGAGTAGACGTTTTGATGATATATGTAACATTGAAACATTTAGAGTACAATTGAAAAACAGGATGAAGAAGAAAGAAGAATCCTATCAAGAATTTGGACACGCTATAAAAAGATTAGCAAGGCGAGGTTACCCAGAATTTTCAGCAGTGGGACATGAAACTATAGCTGTTGAACATGTGATTAATAAGTTACCAGACAGAGATGCCAGAATGTATGTACAAACAAAGAAACCAAAAACAGTGACAGAGGCTATTAACTTAGCGATGGAACTAGATGCATTTAGATTAACAGAGAAACAAAGGAGTGATATACTGGCATAACCTGAAAACCTGAAATATTTTGTAATTGAATTAGATGCGGGACGCATCTCATTAAGGGGGGAGTTGTGTGATGATCTGAGGAGACAAAACCTGAAATATTTTGTAAAAATATTAGTCCCCTGGTGAAATGATGTTGAAGACATGAAGTTTTACCTTAGAATGCTGAATCTTTTAAATCAACTGAATTGTCCCTATGTTGTGGCAGAAGAACTAGCCGTTTGATTGTAGTTTGAAGAAGTTATGACATGAAACATAAGAATTCGTAGAAATTTCTAGGTGTCGTCCGCCATATTGGATTGCATTCGAAAATAGTCTCACTTGACGACCAATACGTTTCGATGTTAAAATGTGATTCAACGCACTAAATATGGAATCTTCTACATAATAACTTAAAGATGAACTCTATGATCGTAATTATATATATGACGGCGATGTATGATACCGATAGCGTGGTAAAAATGGTGATTCTAGATTGACAATGGTGCGTGACGTCATTAATAATGCGTTCGTGATTGGTTCCTCTATAAAAGAGTGAGGCGGGGAATTTGAATTGTCTTTGGCATTGGTAACTCGGAGTGGCAACACGTACTCTGAATGGTGAGAGTCCGCGACAGCCCTATAAATGTTATTTGTAATATAATTTCCCGTCCCAAGTGTGTCTGAATGTTTGGACTTG